TCTTTCCCTCAGAGCGGGGAATTCCATAAAAGGAATGGTCAATCCTTCCCTCAGACTGGGGAATTCCATAAAAGGGTATGAGGATGCTCAGAGCAGGGAATTCCATAAAAGGGTATGAGGACAGGAACATCCCCCCACAGGCGGCCCCCCCCCCTTGACAACAGTTTCTGGGAAATGGCATGGAGGGCCATAGAATACACAGTTTTGGGCTATACCCATTCAGTAATGAATCGGTCCCTGCTGTTCTAACTAGGACATGCTCCCAGTTAATTTCTGGCAAGCTGAAGTCCCCCATAATGACAAGGGCAGTTGACTTGGAAGTTTAAGTCTCTTAGTTTAAATGAGTTCTGAAGTAATTAAGGACAATAACTCCAAAGGTGCATTATCTAACTCAGAAAATCCATAAACCAGAATCTACTGGACTCTGGAAGGATGTCCTGGGGAATATCTGTCTCTGCTCTTCTCACTGATGGAGTTGTCGGAGACGTTTGTCAAGATGACCCAGTGTAGCCTTTCTTATATATAGGAGGGATGAATGTCCCTGTCAACCTAAACTGTTTGTGGAGAGTCATTGGAGCTGAGGAACATTCCTTCAAATGCAAGACACCCTAGACTAGTCTAGGAATAAGGTTCTAGTGAAAGTAGTCTTTCTCTATGGACGACATAGAGAAGGTAATTTCTAACCGCTAATTTTCTAACTGCTGGTCCCTTCCCTGGACTAGCAATACCCTGTATGAGTAGAGTAATTTTGCCTTCAGTGTAATTCATAAAATTCTACATTCACTTTGATACATTATTGTACCTTCCAGAGCCTGATGACAACCTGCAGATTTTCCAATCTGCTTAGAGCAGTTATTATTATGGTAGTATTTAATCAGTTAATATGTTAAACTAGCATATTCCATTCTCAGTGCAGTAACTCATGCTGTTTAATTGCAACCACTACGTGGAGAAAATGTTTGAAAGATAAGGAAGCATAGAGCTTCCATGCAGGAAGGGATACTGCTTAGCATTAAGTTGTTAGCCTAATAAAATTATCCTTTGGCATTACAGAACTTTATCATTTTACTTCACTTGCTTCAAAATTTCAAAGTTGTTATGATCCCTTCATCACAAATCCATATCTCACTGCAATGCCATAAACCTCTTTTATTTGCAGGATCAAATCATGTAGTCAACTATATACATTTATAGAGACTTAAGGTAAGAAAAGTATTGACAAAATCCAATATGTATGTACTGAGTTTCATCATAACGGGACACTTGTCTCTATAACTTGTCCAATAACTCCAGTAGCAAAATAGCCTCTATTTTATGTTCCTAGAGACAGTGAAGATGCCAGAACTATTGTAAATCAGTGATGGGAGTGTACTCACCCCACTCTGAAGTAGGATTTGAGAGTTATTTTAAGTCTTTCGCTCAGAACTCTGATAAAATGACTAGATCTGAGGAGGAGTGGAGATAGATAATGACAAGTTGTGATGTTAAGTCTGGATGTGTGGGCAACTAGAGCAGTAAAAAACTGTTTGGATGGTTATGCTCAGAGAATAGTGGTTAATAAGTTGTACTGTACCTGGATGCCAGTAATGAATTGAATGACACAGATTTCTTCTGCAGAACAGAGATTTTCTTTTCCTCTGTTCATTGCTATTGCAGTGCAAAAATGGTACCTAGGGTTAGTGGGATTCTTGAGAAACAACATATTGAAACTACTGCAGAATGGGAAATGCAGTTGTAGAGCTACATCTGAATTCAGAAAATCGTCCATCAGTTCTTTTCTCTTGAGGCTTTCAGCGACTTGGTGTAAATGATTTAGTTTCTTTGTACTTCCCTCATCTGTGGAAACTTAAGCCAGGAAACATAATTATAGGATAATTGTGGGCAACTCATCTTAGAAATAGATTAGGGACTGATCCTTCAAGCAGCTCAGCAGGCTGATCTGAGGGCAGTTTACCATTTGCAGCTACATGGGAGATGGAAGTGCTGTAACTGATTCAGAAGCTGAAAGGGGATATTAATACAAGGCCTAATTTATCACTGCTGTTCTGTGTTCTGCTACGACATGCCCGAATTGTTGTACAGTGAATATATTACTGTTATTTTATACATAATCTAGGTATAGAATGATGATTAATAATACTTTACTGCCTTAAATTGCCTTTAGATTAAAGAAAAAGTCCCAGTCGGTGGATATTAGTGGACCAGGATGCATCCCGGGGGCAGCTGAAGCTCAGACACCTCAGCCCAGCAAATCTTTACCTGCCACTCAGACAGCTGCTCCTGAGGAGGAGCAGAACAACACCACAAACACCCAAAGGCGCAATCCGCGGAGGAGTGATCTGAAGAGATATTACACCATTGGTGAGTTTTCTTTCAGAGACAAAATCAAATATCCTTGTTAAAAAAGCAGGGTCTTACTGTTTATTTGTGGTTTATTTCTTTTGCTTAACTGCAGTTGGCTACTAAGATTACAAATGCGCACAGTGAACATTAAGATATCATATCTTAATGCTGATGTCAAATTATCCTAAAGAATTAACAATCTGTTCCAGTCACCCTCACAGTAAAGAAATTCCTCCTCATGTTCAGGTGGAACTTCCTGTGCATCAGTATGTAAAGCAGGAGATGAAATAGTGGGAGGGGAGGGGCTGCATAAGAGTAATAGTGAACAGAAATCCACCACATCAAAATGAGTTCTTAATCTAACTCAGGATTAAAACATGTTATTGGCAAATTGGCCATAGTTGAATGTTCTTCTGTGATCACCCAAAACATGGTTGTATATAGAACTACAGAATCAGGTTTGCATTTATCTACTTGTTAAATTTGACTCACTGCAGTTTCTTTTGGGAACCTTTAAACAATTCTTGTAACATTAACTCCATCATTGTTAGTAACTGAGATGTGCTTCTAGTGATCACAAGGTCTAAGCACTAGTTGCTCAGATCTAAGCTTAGTGCTGTAATAACAGAATGTTGTTAATACATTTGAATATTTTGTTTGAATATTGTGCAGCACTTGATTTGACAGACTTGTTGACTGGAAAAGGCCTCTGGAGGTTATATAGTTTGCTGTTCTGTTTGAAGCGGGACTTCAGCCAACACTAGATAGAACAGCCAAAGCTTTGTCTTGCTGAGTTTTGACAATCTCCAGGGGTGGATACTCCACTGCCTCTCTGCATATCCTGTTGGAACATGGACAGTGTGTCCGTAGAAAACTTCATTCATGGGCAACTTGCCCATAAACAGATATTAACGTTTGTGAACAACAGTTGAGGACCCTAGGGAAGTATAACTGACCACAGAAAGTGGCAAAGCTTGCATGTTTTTCTCAAGTATCGTCTTACATTATCCTTGTACAGAGCGCTGGGTGAGGTGGCCTGTCCGGACTGACCCATGGGAGATGTGTTGGTATAGTGTTCTTATACATACAGCCTTGTCTATGTGACTTGTGTGAATCCACAAGGAATAAGTTGCTGGAGCCAGAATTATTGCATACTGCATAATGTTTGACTTTTGCTGACAGGCAAATTAAAGAGACAAAAATTTTTCTGTGTCTTCACAAATGTTTGATGGCACACGTTCCTGAATATTGTGAAAAGGAAAGGTTTAATCTTGGACAGTACAATACTGATACCAGCTGAACATGTTTACTGTATTGACTGAGTTATTGTGATATTGAGTCTATGGCTTTGATAACCTGAGAGAAAGATCAATTACCTTCTTAGAGCTCCCATCAACCTCAATATATGTTAAGTTGTGAGCTATATCACCATCTTGAATTAAAAGAAATTTTCTGTGACTTGTCTCAAAGATAATTTCTAATAGTTAAAGTCTAAACAAATAATTTTTTACTTTCTGAGGATGAATGTACTGACACCTGTAATGGACTGGCACTCTAAAATAGGAAAATATCATACTTTTCTGATGTTTTTTGTACAGTTGGCTGTTATATAGCATAAACAAGCACATTTGACTTGTTGCTGACTTAATATGATTACACAGACGCTTACCTTGTTTTGTCTTTGTTTTCATGTTGTTCTACCTAAAGCAATCTGTGTCCAAGATCGAGCAAATGGATTAAGAAAATGTGTTAGAAAAGTAATGCCCTCAGCCGACTTTCTTCTTTCCATTTTACAATTATTTATTATTATTTAAAGTTATTTTTAAAATATGGTTGTGGGGTTTTTTTTTATTTGGCTATGCAGGAAGCACTTCCGAGATCTTTGTATAAATTGCACTCTGCTTTGCAGATCCAGAGACATGTGAGCATTTAGCTTGCACACACATGCTTTGCAGAAGAAATTATAGCAGCTTGTGTATGCTTGCAACTACTGTGAGTAGATACAGGCAATTGTATGTACTGTGTTCCTAAATAGTCTCTAGCATCAGAATATTTTTAAAATTTTTTCGTGTCCCCATATACACATATTTACTTCAGACCTTTCAAAGTTGATTGTGTAATGAGGAAGGAATATCTGGTAATTTCAAGAGATTTTAAAATTTCATCAGCACCACTTCTACTTTAGAGAGCTATGCACAAGATACTTATTTTGCATTTCATCTTTCCCACAGACTGTATTTCAGATGCTCTCCAAACTTAATGAGTGCAGTTGCACTTTTTAGATGTGGGGGAAAAGTAGGTAAGAGAGAAAAGAACTGATAGGAATAGGCATTGGGGAACAAGTTGTATACTCGGTTAAAATGAAACAGAAAATGGAGAGTCAGTGAGGGGGAGAAATAACTGTTCCATATGGCAGGCTCAGCAGGCAGGAAGGCTCCTGCACCTCCAGTGCTGAACTGGTGTGAAGAAATTGAGTGGGAACGCCTAGATTAATGAGTGTAGGAAAAACAGTCTGCATGGTGGGTTGGATTAAGTTTTTTGGAGAACTCTAGAAACAGCACCCAAGATACTTAAAAATAAAAACCTAAAATTAGACTCTTTAGGTGCTTCAGGCACTTAAAAATTCAGGCCACTTATTTCTGAAGTGCTTATTGCTGAGCAACTCCCTCGAAAGAGAAAAAGAAGACCCAGGTGGGTCTTCAGCATTCTGAAAAGGGGGCTGGAATATTACACAATGGAGAATGATATGGGTAATCTGAATTCAAAGCAGTAAGGCTGGATCAGCTTAATGCCATGTCCAACTACAAGAGCTACAATTAGCTTTCCTTTCTGGCACAGCATCATAGCTGTGTTGCTTGTAGGACCCATCTGAAGGGTTGCAGGACTCTACTTCATGGTATCATGCCAAAGGATAGATATTTAGCAATTTATTAAGGTGAGTGAAGTAGCTAATGTTACCCTATAAAGACATGCACTTGAGGAGCCATGAAAGCCTAGTGTGTAGTGCTTAGATACTTCTGAGAGGATATACCCAGTAGATTATTTACCTAGTAACCCTGGTTTTGTAGAGGGTTCTATTTACCATTAAAATAAAACTGTAGCACTGGTATAGTGTAAATACATGATTTAAAAATAAGATGGCTGCATAAAAATATTTTCCTCATCAGGCAAAAGAAATTATGAAACAGGACAGTAATTCATACTAGAAAATGTTGTTAGACTACGGTGTTGGTGGGGGAAAGAGGAATGCAGCAATTTTTTTTTAAAATTGTATCTAGTAATAAAAATCTTAATGCAAATATTGCTACATAGGCTCTTGCTAACACAACTCATTTCATTGAGAAGACAACTATTAACTGTCTCAGGAGGCATCTTTTTTTGGAACAGTCTCTATTATCAGTGGAAGCCATTGCTCTACAGCTACACAGACTTAGTAGTTTAGACAGAGTGCATGACTATGTATATGTGTATGCAGTGTACAGCATGAGGACACTTGGGAAATACTAATTGTTCCCTTCTCTCCAGTAGTTCATTTTTTAAAAATTTGTTTCGTGTTTCACTTGTAAAAAAAAAAAAAGGAACAAGCCCTTTCCTTCTTCAGACTCTCTTGCAAATGAGATCAGTAGAATTCTTAATCAGGAAAATATTTTCTGCTAGCTTGACCTTGCCATATTAGTACTCTGAATTAACTAATACAAAATCAGTGTGGGATAAGCAACTCTGAATAAATACATTTTAAATTACTAAGTTTCCAAAATAGTTGTCTTGTAGCTAATCCCTAGGTGATAATTGGGAAAAGACTGATTTTCATGTGGGCTCCCAATCTTGTTTGTAAGAGACGAAATTTCAGCGGGTAGTTACTTTAAATTTAGTTGGGATTAGTTTAGTCATAGAATCATAGAATTATTTGGGTTGGAAGGGACCTTAAAGATCACCCAGTTCCAACCCCCCTGCCATGGGCAGTGAACCTTCCACTAGACCAGGTTGCTCAAAGCCCCATCCAGCCTGAACTTGAACATTTCCAGGGATGGGGCATCCACAACTTCTCTACCCTACCACTCTCATAAAGAATTCCTTCCTAGTACCAAACCCTGCCTTCTTTTACTTTAAAGCCATTCCCTCTTGTCCTATCACTGCATGCCCTTGTCAAAAGTCCCTCTCCAGTTCTCTTGTAAGCTCTCTTCAGGTACTGGGAAGCTGCTAAGAGGTCTCCCTGGAACCTTCTCTTCTCCAGGCTGAACAACCCCAGCTCTCTCAGCCTGTCTTCATAGGAGAAGTGCTCCAGCCCTCAGATCCTCTTTGTGTATCTCCACCGGACTCACTCCAACAAGTCTATGCCCTTCTTATGTTGGGGTCCCCAGAGCTGGGAGTAGTACTCCAGGTAGGGTCTCACCAGAGCAGAGTAGAGGGGCAGAATCCCCTCCCTCACCCTGCTGACCACTGTGCTTTTGATGCTCCCCTCCCTCACCCTGCTGACCACGGTGCTTTTGATGCTCCCCTCCCTCACCCTGCTGACCACGGTGCTTTTGATGCAGCCCAGGATATGTTTGGCTTTCTGGGCTGTGAGAGCACACTGCTGGCTCCTTATCAACCAGCACCCTTAAGTCACTACTAATATTAGAACTCCTAAATGCATTATTGTGAAAAGAAGACGGATATTCTAAGGAATTTAATGCATATAAATATAAGTAATAATTGATCGCAAGAATTATTACAAATACACAAAACAGCATAAGAGAGTGTTTATAAAGTGTGAGAGTATAGGTGATTTTATGGAGATACCTGAAGCATAATCTTTTTTTTCAAGTGATTAATAAATCATAGTCCATTCCTCCTGTTATTAAAGGGAGAACTAAATGAAAGCTGATCAGCTTCTATTTAGTGAATATAAGTATACCTACCTCTTGTGCTATATGCTTTCCAATGAGTCAATTCAAGTCATGACTTTTACAATAATTTGAAAGCATAAATAAATATATTGTTTACATATGCAGTAGATTAATTTTCTTTATGTTTAC